GAGTGAAGCACCGCGCGGACATGAGCGAGACTTTGCCGTCCTTGGGGGGGCTGCGATCTGCGAAGTTGGCGCGGCTCTCGAGGGCTGCTGGTGAGTCCAGCGGAGTGAGGCACCGCGCAGGCCCAAGGTAGACCTCGCCGTCCCTGGGGGGCTGCGATCTGCGAAGTTGGCGCGGCTCTCGAGGGCTGCTGGTGAGTCCAGCGGAGTGAGGCACCGCGCAGGCCTGAGGGTAGCCTCCTCGCCGTCCCTGGGGGGGGGGGCTGCGATCTGCGACACTGTCGCCGCTTTCGAGGGCTGCTGGTGGGGCCAGCGGGGTGAGGCACCGCGCGGACCTGAGGTGGACCTCGCCGCCCCTGGAGGGCCGCGATCTGCGACACTGTCGCCACTTCCAAGGGCGGCTGTCGGGTCCAGCGGGGTGAGGCACCGCGCGGACCTGAGGTAGACCTCGCCGTCCTTGAGGGGCTGCGATCAGCGAAGCTGTCGCCACGTTCGAGGGCTGTTGGTGGGTCCAGCGGAGTGAGGCACCGCGCGGACCGGAGGTAGACCTTGCCGTCCCTGGGGGCTGCGATCTGCGACATTGTCGCCGCTTTCGAGGGCTGCTGGTGGGTCCAGCGGAGTGAGGCACCGCGCAGGCCTGGGGTAGACCTCGCCGTCCTTGGGGGGCCGCGATCTGCGAAGCTGTGGCCACGAGGGCTGCTGGTGGGTCCAGCGGAGTGAGGCACCGCGCGGACCTGAGGTAGACCTCGCCGTCATTGGAGGCTTCGATCTGCGAAACTGTCGCCACGTTCGAGGGCTGCTGTTGTGTCCAGCGGGGTGAGGCACCGCGCGGACCTGAGGTAGACCTCTCCGTCCCTGGGAGGATACAATCTGCGAAACTGACGCCACTTTCGGGGGCTGCTGGTGGGTCCAGCGGAGTGAGTCACCGCGCGGACCTGAGGTAGACCTCGCCGTCCTTGGGGGGCTGCGATCTGCGAAACAGTCGCCAGTTTCGAGGGTTGCTGGTGGATCCAGCGGAGTGAGGCACCGCGCAGGCCTGAGGTAGACCTCGCCGTCCCTGGGGGGGGGGCTGCGATCTGCGACACTGTCGCCACTTTCGAGAGCTGCTGGTGGGTCCAGCGGAGCGAGGCGCCGCGCGGACCTGAGGTAGACCCCGCCGCCCCTGGGGGGCTGCGATCTGAGAAACCGTCGCCACTTTCAGTGGCTGCTGGTGGGTCCAGCGGAGTGAGGCACCGCGCAGACCTGAGCGAGACCTCGCCGTCCCTTGGGGGCTGCGATCTGCGAAACTGGCGCGGCTCTCGAGGGTTGCTGGTGGGTCCAGCGGAGTGAGGCACCGCGCAGACCTGAGCGAGACCTTGCCGTCCCCAGGGGGCTGCGATCTGCGAAGTTGGCGCGGCTCTCGAGGGCTGCTGGTGAGTCCAGCGGAGTGAGGCACCGCGCAGACCTGAGCGAGACCTCGCCGTCCCTGGGTTGCTGCGATCTGCGAAGTTGGCGCGGCTCTCGAGGGCTGCTGGTGAGTCCAGCGGAGTGAGGCACCGCGCAGACCTGAGCGAGACCTCGCCGTTCCTGGGGGGCTGCGATCTGCGAAACTGGCGCGGCTCTCGAGGGCTGCTGGTGGGTCCAGCGGAGTGAGGCACCGCGCAGACCTGAGCGAGACCTCGCCGTCCCTGGGGGGCTGCGATCTGCGAAACTGGCGCGGCTCTCGAGGGTTGCTGGTGGGTCCAGCGGAGTGAGGCACCGCGCAGACCTGAGCGAGACCTCGCCGTCCCTGGATGGTCATGCCATGTTTGCGTTGCCCCGCCGACGTTTCAAGCCTCTTTTCCATAGTTTTTGTTTTACCTTGCGTCTTCCTTAGTGACTCAGGGGTTCACTTAGTTACTCATCGTGTTTCCCTTGATTGGGGACCTGCGAACCTTCTGACTGCTGATCGCAGAAGTAGCTGCGTCCATGTCACGTCGCCGCCTTCTCGTCGGATATCCCAAGCTACTCCTGCCCCGCATTGCGCAGGGGTTGGGTACGTCGTCAGGGTATTGCTTTTCTTTCTCAACCCTCATTTATTGGGAATTTGTTTTGAATGGAGCACCGCGGTCGCGTCTCCCTCCTTCTCCCCCCGCCTCCCGCCTCCGCTTGCTTTCTCTTCGCCGACGCCGGGGGTTTGCGACCTGCGGAATTGCCGCAATTTTCGAGGGCTGCTGGTGGGTCCAACGGAGTGGGGCACCGCGCGGACCTGAGGTAGACCTTGCCATTCCTTGGGAGCTGCGATCTGCGAAATTGTCGCCATGTTCGAGGGCTGCTGGTGGGTCCAGCGGGGTAAGGCACCGCGCGGACCTGAGGTGGACCTCGCCGTTTCTGGGGGGGCTGCGATCTGCGAAGCTGTCGCTACTCTCGAGGGTTGATGGTGGGTCCAGCGGAGTGAGGCACCGCGCAGACTTGAGCGAGACCTCGCCGCCCCTGGGGGGCTGCGATCTGCGACACTGCCGCCACTTTCGAGGGCTGCTGGTGGGTCCAGCGGAGTGAGGCACCGCGCAGACCTGAACGAGACCTCGCCGTCCCTGGGGGGCTGCGATCTGCGAAGCTGTCGCTACTCTCGAGGGTTGATGGTGGGTCCAGCGGAGTGAGGCACCGCGCGCACTTGAGGTAGACCTCGCCGCCTCTGGAGGGCTGCGATCTGCGAAACTGTCGCCACTGTCGAGGGCTACTGGTGGGTCCAGCGGAGTGACGCACCGCGCGGACCTGAGGTAGACCTCGCCGCCCCTGGGGGGCCGCGATCTGCGAAGCTGTCGCCACTTTCGAGGGCTGCTGGTGTGTCCAGCGGGGTGAGGCACCGCGCGGACCTGAGGTAGACCTCGCCGTCCCTGGGGGGCTGCGATCTGCGACACTCTCGCCACTTTCGAGGGCTGTTGGTGGGTCCAGCTGAGTAAGGCACCGCGCGGATTTGAAGGAGACCTCGCCGTCCCTGGGGGGTTCCGATCTGCGAAGCTGTCGCCACTTTCGAGGGCTGCTGGTGGGTCCAGCGGGGTGAGGCACCGCGCGGGCCCGAGGTAGACCTCGCCGTCCTTGGGGGCCGCAATCTGCGAAGTTGACGCAACTTTCGGGGGCTGTTGGTGGGTCCAGCGGAGTGAGGCACCGCGCGGACCTGAGGTAGACCTCTCCGTCCCTGGAGCCTGGGGAGCTGCGATCTGCGACACTGCCGCCGTCACTTTCGAAGGCTGCTGGTGATTCCAGCGGAGTGACGCACCGCGCAGACCTGAGGTAGACCTCGCCGTCCTTGGGGAGCTGCGATCTGCGAAATCGTCGCCATGTTCGAGGGCTGCTGGTGGGTCCAGCGGGGTAAGGCACCGCGCGGACCTGAGGTGGACCTCGCCGTTTCTGGGGGGCTGCGATCTGCGACACTGTCGCCACTTTCGAGGGCTGCTGGTGGGTCCAGCGGAGTGAGGCACCGCGCAGACCTGAGGTAGACCTCGCCGTCCGTGGGGGGCTGCGATCTGCGACACGGTCGCCACTTTGAAGGGCTGTTGGTGGGTCCAGCGGAGTGAGGCACCGCGCAGACTTTAGCGAGACCTCGCCGCCCCTGGGGTGCTGCGCTCTGCGACACTGCCGCCACTTTCGAGGGGTGCTGGTGGGTTTGCCACTTTCGAAGGCTGCTGGTGGGTCCAGCGGAGTGAGGCACTGCGCAGACCTGAGCGGGACCTCGCCGTCCCTGGGCGGCCATGGCATGGTGTTGCTACCCCACCGACGTTTCAAGCCCCTTTTCCACAGCCTCTTTTTGGACCTTGCGTCTCCCTTAGTGACTCAGTGGTTCACTTAGTTTTTCATAGTTTTCCCTTGATTGGGGACCTGCGAACCTTCCGACTGCCGCTCGCAAAAGTATATGCGTCCATGTCATGTCGCCGCCTTCTCGTCAGATCTCCCAAGCTACTCCTGCCCCGCATTGCGCAGTGGTTGGGAACGTCGCCAGGGTACTTTGTATTTGGGCGTTTTCGCTCCATGTCGGCCCCTTGGGGGGCCGTTCTTGGGTCCCGGGAGCATGATAAATGGATTTGGTCGAAAGCCTTGCGACAGGGGTCAATGCAGACGGGTGTCAGTCAGAGCGCTGGATCTTGCAGGGTCCTGCACGGCCAGGGTTGTGCAGGATCCGGCAGGATCCTGCAGGATCTTGCAAGGCCTGACTGACCCGGGTCAGGTTTGACCCGGGTTACAAGATCCCCGATTTGGGACGAACAATGGCCACACATGAAAAGGGGTCCAGACCTCTACGGCCCGCAGGCGGGAGAAGTAATCTACAGGGAAGGCGCGAATAATGCAGGGGAAGGCGAGAGGGTGCGCGGACTGAGAAGCACGGGCAGCAGCGGGTATAAGCGAAGGAGCTATTCCCCGCGTGCTCTCCGCCCGAACGGGGGACTGTATGTGGCAGCTTAGATCCCGAGGGGAGAATTGTGGCACTGTCGGTCCCGAGGGGGTGGTTCGACTCCCGCGGGATGGGTGCAAGACGGTCGGGGCCATATGTCCCGAGCCGTCTTGGCTCAACCCTAGGCAGCCTGGTCCAGGCTGTCTGGCGGAATCACCCATGGATATAAAGCAACCGGGGCTGCGTGCACTGCGAGCAGGCCACGGTCGACTCTCGCATTTTTGCTCTTTTCTGTCGACGACGGCGGCAAGGTTGACAGCTAAAAGCAGGCAGGATTTGGCTGCGCATGGCATGGTGGAGGAGAGAGGTAGGGGGCAGCCTCCAGGGAGAGGGAGGAAGGAGAACGGAGGAATAGAGAGGTGGAGGGAGGAAGAGAGGAGGAGGAGGAGAATCAGGTGAAGGAGGAGGAGGAGGAGGAGGAGCAGGAGGAGGATCAGGAGAAGGGGGAGGAGGAGGAGGAGGGTGGGGAGGAGGGGGAGGAGGAGGAGGGGGCCAGGGCAGGATACGGAGGAGAAGAGGTGGTCCGCCCAGCGACCGTGCGGCCTTGGGGTTCGCCCTCCGAGCGCGCCAGGCGCAACCCGCGCGCGCGAGCGAG